ATCTTAGAGTGTCTCAGGTCGTCAGAGGGCGTTGCACACAGTTTACTCAGACACTCAGAGAGCCGGGTGACAGGCTCTGACTTGCCCTCTAGAGGGATCACTGCTGCTGTGTGGAGAATAGTCGGTGGCCAGAGTGGAAGCAGGGGCACTGGTACAGAGGCTTCTGTACTTGGCCATCTGAGGAGTTGGTGGTGATGTGAACCTGGCAAGGAGTGGGCAACAGAGAAGATGATGACAAATTTTGAAGGTAGAGCCAATAGGGTTTCCTGAGGAGGCACATGGGAGTGGAGGGGCATTGCATTGAGCAAGGGGCCGGTGGGCGGATGGCCTTCATTGCTAACTGCATGGTCAGGACCAGCATGAATGCGACTCCCACTGGAAATGGATTGAGTCCTCACCTTCCCATTTCTCTATCCATGTTGACAGGCACTCTCAGCGGTCTTCCCTCTCAACCCCAGCCACTCGGGCTAGGTCAGAGGGGACCAGCTGCACACACAGGTCCACATGATCCCCTCCACTTCAGACCAACCAAAAAAAAAACAAAACCCAGTGCTATCAAGCCAATTCCAATTCATAGTGACCCCCATTGGGTTTCCAAGGCTATAAATCTTTATGGAAGTAGATTGCCTCATCTTCCTTCCGAGGAGCAGCTGGTGGGCTTGAACCACCGACCTTCTGGTAAGCAGCCAGATGACTTACCCACTGTGCCAGCAGAGCTCCTTCCACTTCAGACCAGTGGCCCCAAATTGGGACTTTTCTTCTGACCCCTCAGAAGACCAGCCACAATTTCAGGGGTCCTCAGACCTCTAACTTCTGACCTGCTGGCTTCCACTACACCTGTAGGTTTGGTAATCCCCTCGAGCGACTCAGAGTTTGTATGGAATATTATACTTACGGCTACCCATTTATTATGACCAGAAGGGATTCAAAGGAAGAGACACAGGGGAAGTCTGGGGGGTCCCAGGGCAGAGCATCCCTGTTCCCGGGGTTCTCTTCCTTTCACTGAGCCGTTATGAGCCTCACCACGTGGCCAGGAGTGATTACATCATGCTCTGGGAGGCTTAGTCAATGTTGGGCCCCAGGTGAGCCTCTGTCCTCCAGCCTCACCAAGGGCCTCACCACAAAGCCTTGGTCTCGCCTCACGAGTCTTAGTCAGTATCCGACCCCCAGATGGTCTGGCACTGAGGAACCCAGAGCAGAAGGCCAAATTGCTTTCTGAACCTCACGGGCATTCGGGAAGATTGGGGCCTGAGCACCTGCAGGAAGGGGGCTGTGTCGCCTTCTGAGATGGGAAGGCTGGCGGCAGCAGGTGGAGGGTTGGGAGGGGGTCAAGCGTGTGTTTCTGGACCAGGTGAGCATGAATGAGGATGGCAAGGCAGCACCTGGGTATGTGTAGGTTTCAGGAGAGGGTTGACATGGGGCTGTTGACTTGAGAGTCCCACCTGTGGAGAAGGTATCAGATGCCATGGCACTGGACCCATCAGCTAGAGGTGCCAGGCAGGTGGAGAGGTAACCTGAGGACCAAGGCCTGGGCCACAGCTGCGATCAGAAGTTGGGGCAATGAGGAGAGAGTAGCAACAGACACCAAGCAGGAGTGGTCTCGTGATGGTGGCAAACCCGAGAGAGCAGTCTCCCAGAAGCCATGCCAGGACAGTACTGCAGGAAGGAGCGCACAGTGAGCTGTGTCACACGCTGCAGTAAGGTCAGGGGGACAAGGACAGACGTGACTGCTGGGGGTGGCAGCGTGGACCATCGGAGATCTTGACAGGAGTGCTCTGGTGCAGTGCTGGGGATGAAAGCATCATCAGGGAAAGGGACCAGTGAGCAGAGATGAAGCTTTTGAAGAGGTTTTGCTGCAGAGGGGAGCGGAGCTGCAGGGACGTAGGGGTGTGTGCGCGAGGGAGATCTGTAGCTGATGGGAGAGACTACAGCACGGCCGCATGCTGTCAAGAGTGACCCGTTAGACCAGGTTTGCTGGTCTGATAGAGCCGGGTGGAACCACTGAGACTATGGTCCCTAGCTGCCCTTCAGGTCTGAAATTGAACCCACACCTGTGGCTTCCAGCCAAACAGAAGACAGGCATAGGAGCTGAACATGTACCTGAGGTAGATACACTCCTTGGAGAGAACAATCATGGGAGAAAGAAGGACTGCTAATGGACAGAGAGACAGCTCAGGGGGCAGGAGTGCATGGAGGGATGGACACAGGGAAGAGGTAACTATGGGGAGGAAGTGGGAGGGGAGCCGTTGCATTGGGGTAAATTGTAGTCAGTGTCATGAGACAGCGTGTGTGTGAACTGCTGTATAGAAAGTGAATTTGCTCTGTAAACTTTCATCCAAATCACAATTGAAAAGAAGAAGAGTGGCCTTTAGGGCGGGAAGCGCTGATGCTGAAGGGGACGGGGTGGTGGCTGGAGCCTTCTCCCTCAGGCGGTGGGGGGGTGGGATCTGGCACCCAGGGAGGGGTTGGCCTGGGGGCGACAGCAGGGTGTGGGGGCACAGAAGCAAACGTGCTGGTGGCTTCGGTGGTGGGAGCAGTGGCTGGAGCTTCTGGCAGTCATCCACAGCGCTTCTGTTCCCTGTGAATGGGAAGCAAGGTCGTGGTCTGGGTGAGAAGGCGTCCTGCAGGGGAAGTACATCAGAGAGGGGAGGACCAGGGGACCAGGAAGTCCTGGGTCACCAGGCAGCACAGGGACCCACTGGAGGTGGCTGTTGTTGGGTGCCGTCAAGACAATTTCAACTCACAGTGACCCTACAGGACAGAGTAGAACTGCCCTGGTGATGCAGCGGTTAAGTGCTCAGCTGCAAACCAAAAAGTCAGCAGTTCAAACCTGGCAGCCATTCTGTGGGAGAAAAATGTGGCAGTCTCCTTCCATGAAAAGATTACAGCCTAGGAAACCCGACGGGGCAGTTTTCTGTCCCCTGGGGTGGCTGTGAGTCAGAACTGACTTGCTGGCAGTGGGTTAATGGAATCTCTATGGGAGCAGATCTCCGGGTCTTTGTTTCCCAGAGCCACTGGGTGGGTTCGAACCGTCAGCATTGCAGTTAGCTGAGCACTTAACTGTCACACCACCAGGGCCCCTTTCACTACAGGGCAGTGCTGTGAATTTACAGCAGGGCCGGCCAGCACAGTGGTTTTTCTCCAGCAAGTTCAGCTGTGAGGGTGAAGGTGGAGTGAGCAGGAAGTTGAGCTTAACCAGTCTTGAGGTGGAGCTGTTTGGGCTCTGAGGGTGTGTACCAGAGAAGGACTGTAACAACGGACCCCAGTCTCTAACCTGTGACGGGGGAATGAGGACACGAGGGACGGTAGACAGTGAAAAGAGTAGGATCGATAGGTGGTAGGTCCTATAGGATCAAATAAATGGTATGGTGAAGGGTCAGGGAAGAAGGGATGGCCAGAGTGTAATGCTTGAGGTTGATGGGTGAGGCCACTGGCAGGGCAGTGGGGCAGGATTTACTGGGGGGCTGGAGGAGAAAGGTTGGCTGGGGTGAGGGACCTTGAAGGCCTAGTGGATGGACCACAGTGGATGTGGGGAGACCTTGGGAGGCTCAGTCATCTGGGAGCAATGATGGTGGCTCAGCTCAGGTGGAGGAGCAGTGAGGGACAGAGAGGAGGTGGATTTGGGGAGTGAGATGAGCCGGCCTTGGTAGTGGACTCGATGTGGAAGGGGTGCAGCAGGCACGGGAGGGGGTCCTCCTTGCTTTCTAGACTGGGTGTCCACCAGGACAGGGACACTGGAAGGGAACTGGGTTTTAGGGACATTGACCCATCCCGAGTTAGGGTGCAAAGTGGGGACATCCCAGTGCATGTGTGGGACGGGTGTTTACACATGGAGACGGCAATTTGAGGGATAATTGACCACCTAGGCATAACAGAAGCCACGGTCTAGGTGAGACGATCTAGAGAGAGCAGAGTGAGGGGAGGACAGGGCCTGGGAATTGCCTGGCAAGCACCCCAACTGAAGTGCTCACCCTCACACCCACACCCCACCTCCTGCCAGCCTTGTTCCACCACCATGGAAACCATGAGCCTGAGCTCCGTCTCCCCGTTACTCCCACCTCAGTGTTGGGGTCTCCTGCTGCTAGCCTCTATGTCTCCCCACTCCCTACCCTGCGAGGAGAAGTCTGCCCCTTCTTTCTCAGGTGCTACCTTGACATCCATCTCTCTGCTGGAAGGCCCCTTGCTTTCCTCCATGGGCTTGGCCAGCCTCTGCTTAGGTTTTGTAAGAAGCACTCAGCAGTTTTCCCCAAGTCGGGTGAATGGTCTCCACGTCTGGGGGCTTCCTGAGGGCAGGGCCTGTGTGCAGGCAGCCTTCCTGGCCCCGTGCCCTTCAGGAGCCTGGCCCAGAGCGACTGCCAGGAGACTAACCCGAGCCCCTCTGCTCTTCCCTCAGTTCATTCCCAACACTGACCCTTTCCAGAAGGCTCTGAGAGAAGAGGAGAAACGCCGGAAGAAAGAGGAGAAGCGGAAAGAGATCCGAAAAGGCCCTCGGATCTCGCGATCCCAGTCCGAGTTATAGCCCTGGAGCAGCGCAGGGTCAGGGGCCAGGAGGAGGCCACGTGGGAGGAAGAGGCGGCTGAGGTGCAGCGGCGACGGCTGTGCGGTGAGAGCCAGCCCCGTGTACTGGGGAGGCCACAGCTCGCCCCTGGGGAGCCAGGTCTGAGCCTGGCCGGAGGGGCTGGACTTCCTCCCAGGAGGGGCGCCCTCACTTCCTCCCAGAGGGGCGCCGTGAGGCCTTCAGGGGCTGCTGAGCTGGGGATGTGACCCTGTGCAGACTGCTGGCGGGGAGCAGGGGACCCCACTGGGCTCTCCTTGGGAGTAGGGCCCTCCGTGGGGGACAGCAGAACCAGACTGGGGTGTGAAGGTGCCACTCCTACTGCTGGCCTCAGCCCCTGTCACAGATGCCCTGGCACAGGTCCCAGCCCCTCCACAGAGACAATAAACGCCAGCAAGTCCAGGTGCCCGGGCTGGTTGGGGCCCAGGGTGGTGCAAGCCCTCCAGTGGGTGGTGGTGAGGGGCCTGGAATGGAAAGCACCCCTGTGTCACCGGGGAGAGCCAGGCCCTGACGGGCACAGGAGCAGTGGCCCCTTATCAGCACTTGGCCTCTGTCCTCAGATGCCTGAGGGACCGTCATTGAGCAGGGCCACAGAAGGGCCGACCTGTCTTCTCAGGCAGCACTGAGACCCTAGGGCCTTTGGGTGGGTGGAGACCACAGGGGGACCAGCCGCAGCTCCTGCCCCCAGCTTGGTCAGTGAGCGCCCTCCCTGCCTCCGGAGATGTGAAGCAGAGACCTGTGGCCTAGGCCTGGGCAGCTTCCTGCGGAGGACGGAGGGGCTGGGGTAGGAATTCTCCCTCTGCCTCTTTGGCCTGACCAGACTTCCCTGCCCCCCCTGAAAGAGCCGGCGCCAGACCCAGGTCTCATCACAGCCTGCCTTCCCCTCTCTGCAGCCTCATGGGCCCAGCCCCGACCAGGTTCTCTGACGCTGGGGCCTGGCCAGCCTCTGTGGGAGCTCCCCCAGAGTACTCATCTGTAGGGCGTCTAAGGGAAGCAGGGCCTCAGGGAGGCTTCCAGGAAGGACCCCATCAGTCAGGAGAGTCAGGAGACAAGAAGCAGTGGGAAGAGAGGAATGTCAGGGAGGTGGAGAACTCTTGCCCTTCAGAGGAGCCAGCCGACCACGGGGTCCCCCTCACTGGGCCGGGGAGGTGGCGCCTGGTGGTGGGACTGACCCCATACGCCAGGCTTCATTTCCCCTCTGCCCTCCTTCCCCGGCTGCATGACTCCAGCCACGTTTCTGTGGGGGTTACAGGAGATGACAGTGCCCGACTTTATCACCTGCAAAGGGCTCTTTGCACTTGACCTCTAACCTGCGGAAGACAAGGCCTGGCGACTTTCTTCCATTAAGATTACAGCCTGTGAAGCAGTTTTACTCTGTCACATGTGGGGTCGCCTGGTGTCCTGGTGCTGCAGACGGAGCTGGGGCCAGGGCAGGCTTGCCTCAGGGGAGGGACATGGCCAGTCACCACCCTCTTCTTGCCAGAGGGTGCCTCCTGACGCCCTCCCCTGACCCGGAAGAGGAACTCCCCAAGAGCCAGGCCTCCTCAGCAGGGGACCGCGCTTGCTTGGGACCTATATGAAGCTGAGTAGAGGTTGAAGGACATCTTGGGACAGTGGGGAGATGGTTCCAGCTTTGGCAGGGGTCCCAGTGAGTGACTTCAAGGAACTCCCATCATTGGTGACGGAGCTGGGCCAAGATGTGCACCTTGGGACTAGCCGAGGCGCTCACTTCCTGGCTCTTGTCATTGGAACAGATGCCTCTCCCTCACATCCTCCGTGTCCCCACCTCCCAATGGGATGGGGACACCCACTGAGGGGTGGTCAGGAGGATACAATAGGAGCCCACATAAAGGTCCCAGTGGCACAGTGGTTAAGCGCTTGGCTGCTGGGGTGTGGGAGGGGCGCGTCAGTCACCTGACTGCATGACTGGACCCTAAAGAGAAGTTGGCGGTTCAAGCCCACCCAGCGGCTCCTTGGGAGAGAAACCTGGTGATCTCCTTCCGTGAAGGTTACAGCCTGTACCGCACTTCTCTGTCACGGGGTCACTGGAGTCGGAATCGCAACGGCACCCAACAACAGGCAGGGTGCCTGGGGCTTCAGTGACTTCTCCGTGATGTGACCTGCACTGAGGGCACCACAGGGCCCCTTCTGACGGTTCTTCGTCAGTCTCATTTATTTGCTGTGTGCCCACCGCGTGCAGAGCCAGAGAGGGACCCAGCTTCCGGCTCTGCCCCACTAGCCCTTCCACTCCTGTTTTTTTTCCCTCTCCACCTCCCTTCTCCCTCTTTGGTTGATTCCTTCCTTGCTTTCCCATCTGCCACCTTCTGAGAGACCATCATCCTGCCTCTCCCCTGCCCTCCCCCTTCTGCCTACCCCTGCTTTCCCCTCTCCTC